CTAATTAGCAATATCAAGTTCTTGAATCCAGGTTATCTCATGATAAGATATTACTTGCTGTCTGTTACAGGCCATGGGCACCTGGACATGGACACTTCTCCCTTGATCTTTCCATCCTAGATATCTGGACTCTTAAAGTCTAAGCCAGTAAAGCATGGACAAGCCTGTTCATGTAAGGTTTGGCCTCCCAGTTTGGGTTCACAGCCAACAACCACACTGGAGCTCAGGCCTCTGGCATCAGACTCCTAGATATGAAGTCAAGCTCTGCCTCTTATCAGTTGTCTAATGAGGACTAAGATTCAGCTTCTCTAGGACTCAAATTCTTTTTCTGTACAATAAAAATGATGAAATTTTATTCTCTTTAGTCTGTTGTGAGAAGTAAATGAAATAATGCACAGTGTTTACTCACTGTCAGGAAATACTGCACAAATAAATATGAATATCACCAGTAGTCCTGGATCCCTGCTCCTCAGGAGGCTGGGACTGATGGATCAAAATTCTAACATTAAGTTTAAGGTTAGCCCAGGTAACATAAGTGAAAAAGTCTCAAGAATAAAAGGTAAAAAAGAAGCTGATAATGGCCCATGTCTTTAATCCTGGGGAGGTAGAGGCAGGTGGATTTCTGAGTTGGAGGTCAGCCTGGTTTACAGAATGCATTAGTTTCAGGAGAGACAGAGACCTGTCTGGAAAAACAAATAAACAAATAAACAAAAGGCCAAAACCAAACTAACAAAAACCCAAGGATATATCAGTTATTGAGCATTTGTCTAGCACAAAGCTCTACCATATACCACAAACACAAATATTATACATAGTCATTCCTATGAAGACCAACTTTTTCCTGTATAATCTGTAGACAATATCTCCTATTCAAATGAGTATGGCTCAACTTTGAAGTCATCCTAATTATTCTACTAACATGAACTCACTGTACAGAAATGCATACCAGAAGAAGATGACTCACACCTGCTAGGCAGACTGTGGAAGAAGTAGAGGTAATTCCTTCAGAAGGCTTTTCACAGTGTTGATGGTTGCTTTCTCATAAACAGCCTCGATTTGACACAGTTTCTCTCTTTGCAGAAAGGGGATTGTATTAGGTTTCTCCAAGGAATGGAAATGACACTTTATTTACTTATTTACCTCATATAGATTAAAAAGATTTATTTCATTTACATGTGCAGTGCTGGGTATCAAACCCAGAAGCTTGTACCTGCTAGGGTAATGGTCTACCATTGAGCCACATACCCAGTTCTAATGAGTTGGTCATAAAGATTGGTCCATGATTTCACTGTGGCTAAAAAGCATTAAGATGTGCAGTCTGCAGGCTGCAGACTTAGGAGAGCCAATGTGTCTGTTCTAATCCAAATGCAAGAAAGCACAGAAGGTCACTCGGAACTTAGCCTTGTCCTATTCTTCATTTGGGTGAACTCATCCATGTGTAGGAAGGCATCTGATTAACTTGATGCTAATTTTGTTCAGAAATGCTCTCATGGATACACCCAGATGTTTGGCATCCTGTGGCCCAGTTAAAGCAACAACAACAACAACAACAACAACAACAACACACACACACACACACACTTACAGGGATGGGGAAAACATGTCCTTTTGTCTTCCAAAACTTCTACTCAGGAGGGGACACATGGGGTAGGGGTGGGATTGGGGAGTATCAGTCTGGGATTGCTCAGGTTAAATGATTTTAAGAAGGAAGGCTTAAAAATAAAAAAGAAGCACACACTTCTTTCTTTGTAAAATTATCCTATTTCTGAGGTTGTATGTGATGTGATATGCTCTCTCTCTCTCTCTCCCTCTCTCTCTCTCTCTCTCTCTCTCTCTCTCTGTGTGTGTGTGTGTGTGTTTGTTTGTTGCCTGCATGTGTCTGGGTACCACGTGCATGAAGTGACAGTGGAACCCGGAGGAGAGTATTGCATCCTCTTGGACTGGGTTATAAACAATTGTGAGCCGCCATGTGGGTGTTGGGAATGGAACCTGGGTCCTGTGGGAGAGCAGTCAGTGTTCCTAACTGCTGAGCCATCTCCAGCTCCCAGGACACATTTCTTACTCTAAAAGCCACTGCCAGTCTGCTCAGGCTGACAAAACAAAATACCACAGACTGGGCAGCTTGAAGGTTAGAAATGTATTTTCATGGGCTGAAGGTCCAAGATCGAGTACCTGTAAGGTGTGATTCTCCTGTGGCCTATTTCCCTGGTGTGCAGAAGGCCTCCTTGCCGTATCCTCACATGGCCTATGGTAGTGCATTCCTAGAGTCTCTCTCTTTCCTCCTATAAGGACACCAGTCCTGTTGGATTAGGGCCTTATCCTTTATAAAAAAAATCTTTATGTGTATGGATGCTTTGCCTGCATATGTGTACGTGTACCCTGAGCGGGCCGGGAGAGGGCCCAAGAACCTCTGGAGCTGGAGTTAAAGGTAGGAGCTACCATGTGGGTGCTGGGAAGTGAACCCTGGTTCTCTGCAAAGGCAACATTGTAGGACCTCGTTCAGCCAGTAGCCTTTGGGGTACTGGCCATTAAGGCATGGTCTCGGGTGCTATATGAATGGATAAGGGGGGAGGGAGGCAGAATTGTGTGCTTTCTCTTTTGGGTGGTGGTCAAGGATCAGATTGCAGCCTCCAGCGCCCCAGGGCAGAAGACCTTGGTGGTTGGTACCCTACAATTATTGTGTGGAGTGTTCACCAAATAAATATGTGTTATCCTTTTATTTGGGCTTCAGTGGACTTCTTTATTCCCAACACTTTTGGAAGGCGATTTGTACATCATCCAAAAGCGATGTTTTAGCTGTTAGTTTGTTTTGACTCTGAATGGAAATAATTTTTTTCTGTTAATATTTTATTCCCATGTTCCATTGATTGTGTTTTGTTTGTCAAGTTATGATTGTCATTTCCAATGGTATGACTCTTCTCAGCTAAATTGTCATTAGCAACAAGTGGTCTTGAGAACTGAGCCATCTCTTCAGACCTAGGGTCTTCTCTTTAATCTCCAAATACACCCCATTGGGGATTAGAGCTTCAGAAATGGGGGGGGGGGCAGATGCTAACAATTCCATAAATGACAGTCAAATTCTTTTTATTTCTTTGGAATCAAAAGATTTAGCATTTGTAGAGTAGTCAGGTTCCATCAAATCCCATTATAGAATGTAATTGAATGCCACCAGTTACTTGTATCATCAACTTTATCCTGAGACATTAAGAGCATACTCATAGTACATTTAGTGGCTTATGAAAAAGACTTGAAAATTAACTTATTCAGGTGTATTCTCTGAGCCCTGATGGGGCAGGCACCAAGCTGAGCAACATGACATAGATGTTGCAATTTTATAGGAGTGTTGAAACACATACACACACAACCTGTAATTCAAAGCATATAAAATATTAAGTAATAAATGAACAGAAGAAGTAATAGGATAAGCATAGGAGTCTGAAAGAGAATTAATAACAACCATTCTTTATTGAGCATTTGCCATGAGTTGGACACAATTTAATTATGAGTCTCCATTTTTATTTATTTATATTTTAATTTTTGGGTTTCTTTTTAAGACCGAATTTCTTTGTGTCATAGCACTTTCTCAGTGTAGCCCTGGCTGTCCTGGAACTTGCACTGTAGACCAGGCTGGCCTCAAACTTACAGAGATCTGGCCTGACTCTGCTACCTGAGTATTGGAATTAAAGGCATGGGCCACCATCCGCTCAGAGTCTCCCTTTTTATGCTATTATACTATAAGACCTGCCTGGGCCCTTCCCCTCTGTGGGCACTGTGATGCTGCAGGGGAGCTGCTGGCCTAGCCTGTCTGTCCCAAGCACTCTCCATGGAGAGTGTGTTAATGCCAGCTGTGGAGGTGACTTGTCTGGAGCAGTGGGAGTGGGAAGTCTCAGCTTGGAGGCTAGGTATCAGTGGGAAGTGTGTTCAATGCTTTCTCATGTGCAAAGATACTTGAAACTCATAAATAGGCAAATACGTGGATGGTGGGCCCACAGAGTAAACCACTGCTTAGGTTTTTCTGCTGGTTCCTTAGAGCAGAAGGGAAGGTTGTGTCTTCATCTGTGTTTGGAAACAGAGGCACATCGTCTGGCCGCAGCTGCTCCAAGCCCATCTTGAAGAACTGATTTCTCTTAGTGACCTGTGGGGTGGGTAGGTGCCAGAGAAGAGAGGGAGAACACAAAGGCTGGTTCTATCTTTAAGTATGAAGTGGTCCTTGGTAGGGAAGTCTGCTGAGGTCAAGGCATAGGAACCATCCAGCCCCCACCTGCGGAGACAAAGGGACATCTGGAGCCCGTTAGTAATGTGGGTAACTAAGGACAGAGGCTCCTAATCCCCCCCCCAAGATGGAGAGTGAGGAAACCTCTTGCTCTTCAATGTCATCTGTGGCCACAAAGAGGAGGTCCTAGTACAGGGGAGAGGCAGTGAGAACCCTGATGTTCTGGAGTACATGAGGTGACATCTGCACATTTGGGGATTGAGTAGGAAGGGATCTTGTAGCAGAGTGTCAGGAGAGACTTGAGAATGGTGTAGTGGAAGCTACTCTGGAAGTATTTAAAACAGCGCTGAGTTCCTGAATCCCATTATGGAGTGTTTGTATGCCATCCTACTGAATTCACCAGTAGCCAGGCAGGCGGTGGTGGAAGCAGAAGCTTGGGTCCTGACCAGGGCTGGTCAGGTCCTGCAGGCTCCCCTGGGCTGAGGTGACTGCCTAACAGACCAGTTAGCTGCCTTCCCACCACATTAACCAGTGCTGGCACCAGGAGGACCATGGGCATGTGGGGAGAAATGAGCATTTTGTTTCGAAGTATTTTTCCACTGCTTTCCAATGCCGATCTCGGAGTGGATGCGGGGTATGTGTGCACACGTGTGTGTGTGTCACGGTCACAGGACTCAGGTAGGCGCGGGAGCTCAGCCGCTGCTCTTGGCTCTTGGCATGGGAAGCAGCGGGGCTGGACCAGGGAGCCAGTGGGAGGGGAAGTGCCATTGTGACCTACTCAGGTCCCTCCCCTCCTCGGGCACTGTGATGCTGCAGGGCAACTGCTGGCCCAGCATGTCTGTCTCAGGCCCCCTCCCTCGCAGTGTGTCACAACCGCGGAGGCGGCCGTATCTGGAGCAGTTGGGGTGGGCAGGCCCAGCTGGGAGGCGAGCGGGCGAGGAGAGCGGCCACGATGGTGAGACTTCCCGGCCCCCCAGCTAGCCAGGGACGCGCGCAGGTGCCGGGGTAGAGAGCTGCGGGGCCACGGAGTAGCTGCCGGATGGCTTTGGATCCTTTGGGCTCCAAGTCTCTTGCGGGGGGAGGGGGTCAGTTTAGGATCAAGGGTCATATATCCGGGGTGGGAAACATCTAGCTTTCAGGTACTGTTTATTTTGCAGAGAAAGTGGCGAGCAGGGGCCTTTCGCCCTTTAAAGGGACCTAAGGGAGATTTGCGCTAGCTAAAGAGAGGAGGGCGAACCTGGAGAACCGGGTGAGAGGCGAGTGACACTCTGGGAGACCGCCACTCGTGGACCAGAATGAGAAGAAATGGGATGCCAAGGGATTCTGGACAGGCGGTCTGGACCTGGGTGGCTGGGCAGGTAGAGAGTCAAGTCTCCAAATCAAAAGTGACAGGCTCCAGGCTGGGGTCATTCTCTACTCTCATTATCGGGCCACCAGCTTGGGTTTGGGGCAACTTCAATTCCAGCTGGGTCCTCTGTACCTGGTCTGCCTGTGCTGGCTCTCCGGCCGTCGTCTTGGGTTTGGGGCACCCTCGATTCGAGCTGGGTCCTCTGGACCCAACCAGCTTCGCAGGCGCCTGGCGCTGGTGTGGGCTCCTCACCTTTCCCAGCGGTCAAAGTCAGGAAGGCTTTGGGACTCGGAAGTTTCCCTCCCTGGAGACCTGGGGACGTCAGTCATTTACTTTTATTTCCTTTCCTGGCTTCGAGGCAGCGATTCCTCACTGCTATCTGTCACCACTAGCAGCTGCTACCTTTATAGCTAGAGGGACCCCCCCCCCCATTCCCCCTTCCTGAGCGCCTCGTCAGCTCTGCCAAAAGCCCCTGGGACGCCCAGCTGCCGGCCTAATGTTGGCCTCAATCATCTCCCCCACACCCCCGACGCCTGGAAGCCGTGGGGTTTCTGCAGAGAAGTGGGGCAGAAAGGTTAGAGTGACAGCGGGTGGGACAGAATATCTCAAAGACCAAGGTCAGGTTCATAGCACTTGCTCCGGTGTCAGTGACAGGGCAGTGGCAGCAGAACCTCCCTTCTCTCCTTCCCACCCCATCCCCCCTCCCCTGTCCTTCCCCCCTCCTCTCTCTTCTCCCCCTCCCTCTCCTTTCCCCCTTCTCCGGTTTTCCACCCCCCCTTCTCTCTGGCTGTTCATTTGGGAGAGTGCCCAAGGCTTTCTGGCGCCGGTCCTCTGTAGTCCTTCCTCTAAGCCTGTCCATCATTCCTCACGCCCAGCACGCTCCCTGCCACACCTGGGAGCTTGAAGAATTTGAGAACACAGGAGAGAGTAGCCAGAGGAAACCACTTTTGGTCTCTGGTATGGGATTGTAGGAGTGTAGAGCTGAAGTTCAGATTTTGGCGCTTGGCTATGCAGCTAGCTAGCTGTGTGACTTCAGGAAGGTCATTAAAGTTCTCTGGACTGATTTTTCTCATCTACAAAATGAAAAGGGCTTAGTTAAATTTCCAAGGCTCTATATACATTTTAATATTTTTAGACTTTTATAAAGTGATTTAAATATACATGTTACATATACATATATGAAGAGTAAGTTTATTCTATGCATCATCCAACTTTGCATATTTGCTATAATCAGTCATTTGATATTTTCAAGATGTTTCTCTGTGTAGCCTTGGCTGTCCTGGAACTTGCTCTCTAGACCAGGCTGGCCTCAAATTCCAAGATCCATTTGCCTCCTGAGTGCTGGAATTAAAGGTATGCACTGCCACATCCAGAAAAAAAATCAAAATACTTATTAGTGAGTTTTCGAGTACATGTGTATGTTTGTGTATCAGTGTTCTTTCACCATGGAATTTCGTGATCAAACTCAAGTCATCAGGCTTGTTTAAGCAAGTGCTTTTACCTTTTAAGCCATCTCTGTGGCCTCAATTATCAGACTTGCTTTGTTTATTTGGCCATAGCCTGTAGTTCCCAGTGCTTTAAGGTTTTCACATCCATACTTTAGACATTCTGATCTGAGTGTCTACAGACAGACTCGGAGTAGAGCCTAAAAGATGTTTGGAGAAGGGGGCAAAGACAGTAATCCACCCTAGGACAAATGCCAATGTGTGCTGAATAGACGTGGGAAACAAAACAAAACACAAAAAACAGTAAAGTTGAGGTGGTTTTGAAAACCTAAGTGGTCAAAGTATCATAGTTTTATCATGAACCCCTGAGTTTTATGTACCGTCTTCATGGATAACATTTCCCATTCTTAGTGAAATTTTTTCTTTTACCTCCTCCCTCCCTATTTTCCATTTTGAGATGGATCTCATTACAGTGCCCAGGCTTCCCTTAAATGTGTGCTGTTTCTGTTCCCTCAGCCTCGGAGCAGCTGGGAGACTCAGGATGTGGGGGGGATCCTGAGGCCAAGCCTTGTATGCTTGGCAACTGTGCTACCTTTGAACCACATCCCCAGACGCCTCTCATTCCTGAAAGACTAGAATGATGAATTTGTAAACCCTGATCTGAAATATCCCACCCTTTCAAGAATGCCTTCACTTCCCCCAGTAGGTCAGGTTTTAGGCAGCTGGCCTCCATGCCCTTCTTTGTACATGGTCATAGAGGCCTTCTTGGGAGGTAAGCAGAATTAGCTTTGCCATTTCCATTTTTGTTGGGTAAGGATGTGTAAGTGGTCCCCATGGGTATTTTTAGTGTGGTCATTCTTCAATTACTGGGCAGGTGGGCATTTTCCCGGTGTGGATCCTATGGCTTCCCAGGTGCCTGTGGCTCCATCCACCGATGTCCTTTAGTGGTCCCATACCAGACACTCCAGCACACAGCTCACACCTCCTTTCAAGCCTTCCTTCTTAACCATTAGCTGAGCAGGCCAGTTCCATACCCCAGCATTCCATCTGTTGTCTGTGCTCTTCCAACAAGCAACCCCTGGCAATGTGACGATGACACTAAATTTTGGAAAGTACTATAGAGATCCCTGGATAGGTACTCTAAGCCAAACCCATGTCAATAGTATCAGGGAGCAGAGTTTTTTTCTTTTTTCTTTTCTTTTCTTTTTATTTTTCTACAAAGGTCACAGGGAGATGGGGACACCTATATGACCTTTGAAATACCTTCATACCCAATTCCTTTAGCTTTGCGGAACTCTGGCTGCATTAGAGGGAAATTGACACCAAGTGGCGACAAGGATCCCATACACTTGCAAAAACTGGCGGTGAGAGAGGAATTGGCAAAAATTGGCAGAGCGTCTGGGAGGTGGAGGTGGAGTCATTATATCTGGTGTCCTTTGCCATCACTCAGCTGTACCATGTGGCTGTGCTGTGCAAACCAGACGAGCATTGTGACCCAGAGCACCGTGGGGGCTACAGCCATCTCTCCCTTCCTGTCACCAAGGGCAAATTTTTCCTCCTATGCCCTTGGGTATGGGTTCCTTGGTCCTTGGTTAAAGTGATGGGACAAGGTTGCTAAGTGAGTCTTGATAGGTTAGGCTCAAGCTACTGCACAGTTGTGGGAGGGGTGGGGACTTTAATGCTGTTGCCAAGTGTTTGCTATGTGTCCTTGACGAGAGGGCTCCTAGCTGACCTTGGTGACCCCTAGGCTCCTAGGACGAAAAGTTAACTTTGAGGAAGAAATGGCTGGTAACCAGGTCAGTGATTGGGAAGAGGATGTGGTATTGTTTGAGGAAGAAAGTGGACCAACTGTTCACTTTTTCGTGGGCTACCAGGGAGTTGACAATGCTGTGGCCTTTGTGGTGGGCATTTCCTTTCTCCTGGAAGGTCGTGAAAACGTGCACGAGGCAGTGTGTGCATCACACTGAAGACTGAAGCCTGCCCTGTCTCAGCCAGCTGAAGCCCAAGGGCCTTTGCCAGCACAGGGTCTCTTGTGCCAGAATCTACTTAGCAAGCATCCCTGCCACGTGTCTCCGTTGCTGCCTGCATCATCTGAACCCCACTCCTGAGCTGCCTTCTCTCACTGATGCTCATTTAGGTCAGCTCTGTTCAGGCTGCTGCTCATTTGCTGTCTTTTCTCTCTTGCCAGCGATCCCAAACACACACTAATTGAAGGGTCTGAGTAGAGATAACGCAATCTTTGATGAGTCACATTTGCTCTTGCTTTAATTATCCCTTTGGAACACTATGGATCTACTTGTCATTTGTCAGCTTTGTGACCTAGGTCCTAAAATATATGTGATTTTTTAATTCTAGCCCATCAACTAGAAATAATGCTGTGGTAATAGGCTTCCTGAGAGCAACTGCATGGCAACTGAGCACACAGGTGGCCAGGGGACAATGGGCCTCTCTTAGTCCTTCACATAGTTCCTGATGCTGGTCTGAGTCACTAACTTTCCTAGAGAAATACCCCATTGTTAATATTATTTTGTGAAACCTTGAACTGACTTTTTCAGTCCAGGGTCTTACACATGCTTGAACTTTCCCTGCCATACTGAGCTGTGTCACTGTATCCAAATGATGTCCTTAAGACTCAGAACATTCTTCCACTGAGGAGAGTACACAGCTTTTGTTCCTGAGAACAAAGCAAAAGGGCCTGCAATACTAAAACAGGAAATATATTAAATAGGATTCAAGACTAGGGTTTCTTGCAGTGAGTTCTAAAGACTGCAGAGTTCCAGAATATTATTTTCTGTGACATCTGCTCTCCATGGAGGATGGGCAGAAGGGGACACAGTACCCCACCAGCTCTTCCCTTCATGAGCTCATGCTCCATATATACTGGCAGTTGTGGGACATGTCCTGAATTCTCCAGTCTCTTGTTCACTATCCCTAAGGGCACCTAAACATGCCCCCAGGCCATCTAAATGCACCCGGGCCTGTCTATTTTCCTTATGCAGCAGACCAAGTGGGCAGTTGTGGGTCCCTTTATTGAACTCCCATGAGCTGCCTCTATGTGTTCTTAGGCTCTGCCTGCTCTTTGTGTTAAACGATCTGTAAAACCAGGCGGGATCTTACTCTACTCGTCTCTGCTACGTCCAAACACTGAGCTTGGTGCTGGGCCTTCAGTCTCTGTATCAGGAAAAGGCAGACACTTGAAGAAGCCACCATCATGGCTGAACACTGTGTGATAAACAGAAAAGGCAATCATGTGCAAACTCAGCAGGGACCCTGCGGCAGTCTGTGGTTATCCTTACTTCCTGCCAGTAGGGAGTGACATTTAACTGGAGTCCTGAAAAATGGCATTAGCTCGCTGCCACTCAGAACCTTCTTGCATATGACAGCACTTACCACGTTGGGATGGACTTTTGTAGGACGTGTTTGACTTCTCAGGTCTGTTGAGGGATGTCACTTTTCTTGAGAGGTGTACTGGTCTCTCTGTCTCCCTTTATTCCCTGCGTTGCTGAGTTCTGATGCTTTGGCAGCATACAGAGCCTTCCCTTACAGGGACCCAGGAGAACAGAGCTCCACAGGTCCAGATTCAAAATAGAATCAAGTGGGGGAGGGGGCAGGAACTCCGGCTACCAAGGGGAACCTGAGATATGCGTTTGGAGCAACATATGACTGAAATATCCTTGCTAACTCAGCGTACCTTTGCCCCACATCCTTGGCTGCTCAACTTATGCCGAGGAACAGCCAGCCTCCTGGTAGCGACAGAGGAAGATGACTCACTTTAGAAGGGATTGGCTCCTGATGCTCTCCCAGTATTTTTGTGCAGAGAGCATTTCCTATTGGGAATGTTGCATGGCTAGCTTGGTATTGATGTTCACTACTAGGCTTGCACTGAGGTAGATGCAGCCGCACCCCAAGGCACTGGAAATTCAGGGTAAGGGTGAGTCAGGAGGTTGTAGGGGCAAAGGCTAGAGCTCAGGCTAGACTCGAAAGCCCTGGGTTCTAGGCCAGGCTTTCTTGATGCACTGCTGCTCTACGTCTTCAGTCTTAACCTTTGCCTCTCTGTGTCTGTTGTAACTATCTGAGATGGAAAAGGAATCATTAGGCCATCCATGGGGCCAGCCCACCTATGTGCGTGTTCGGAGCTTACATCTCATCCTCACCATGCCAGATGGATGACCTTTCATGGTTGTGGGGACTGGCTTCCCAAGGGTGTCACACTGGTCTCCCGTGCTCATCTGTGTGGAACTTCAGGCGGAAAGAAGGGTTGGCTGAGCAGACAATGTAGAGAAGCTGCCCCTGTGCCAGCTTCTGCCAGGGTAGCAGACCCTGAGGTTAGGTACTTATGAACTGAAAGGGTTATTTTGGCTCAGTTTTGGAGGTTTTAGTGTGTGCTTGTTCTCCCTATCAGTTCTAGGTCTGAGGTGAAGTGACACATGGTGGAGGAACATGGTAGAAGAAGCAAGTGACAAACCACATACTTGATGGCCAAGGAGCAAAAGAGAAAAGGAAGGAGAGACTGGGGTTCCACAGTCCCATGGACCAAAACACATACTGCTGGGCTCCACCTCTTGGCCTCCTCTCTTCCCAATAGTGCCAGAGGTGGTGGGTTGGGCCTTTAACATGGGAACCTTTGGAAGGCATTCCAAGTGCACACTACAGTACCCTACCGTGAGCAAAGAATCCGGTGGAATTCTGAGGGATGTTCATAGACCACAGGGTTCCCGGAAACTGCATCTGAGTTGTAATGTACTTGCATCTAAATTCCACCCTTTGTGCCCAAAACCTCTTGCTTCCTTCTTAGTCTGAACTTCCGTTGCCTTGGGTAGATGGTGGCTGCATCTACCTCAATGCAAGCCTGGTAGTGGACATCAATACCAAGCTAGCCATGTAAAATTTCAAACAGAAAACAGAGACCAAGTCCGGGGCCTGGCTTGTGGTAGGCCAGCTCTCCTTATGTAGCTTTGAAATTTTTGCTTAGCCTTACAGGTTGGGTCTTTAGTAAGTATCATGTAAGTAGTCCTGTGAGATGAGAGGAACCAGGCTAACATGGGTGGAGTCTCTACTCTAACTCCTACTTTTCATCTATTTTATTTTTTAGGTTGTTATTAATGTCTTGATATTTTTTACTATGAAAAAATTTAAACCTCTAGAAAAGTAGATGAGTATAATGCCACCCATATGTTTTGCTTATGTGTAATAGTTATCATTTAAAACCATAACTACTTATTTCTTGTGTTTGTTAATGTGTTTTAAAAGTTAGGAGTGTAGCTCAGTTGGCTAACATTTGCAGGCCCTGGGTTTGATCTCCAGTACTGTTAAAATACAGATATGATATTTCATTGCTAGGTGCTTCAGACAGTAAAAGCATTTTCATACCTAACCTTATTTTTTATTATACTTAATTAAAATTAATGAATTTTTCTGTTTTGATTGGCTCAAGTTATAATTCAAAGTCTGCGTAGTTCATGTAGCTGTTCTGCTTCTAACATGGTTTTGGTATGGTGTAGTTCTTGCCACCATTCTTATTTCTCATGAATTGAGACAGAGAGTGTAGCTTGGCAGTTGGGGGGCATGGAGAGAGAGAGAAAGGAGAGAAAGAATGTGTAAGGAGAAGGATGAGGAGGAAGAAGAGAGAAAGGGAGGGAGGAAGGGAGGGGGAAGAGAGAGAATAAGTAAGGAGGAGGAGGATGCGAAGGTGAAGGAGGGGGATGAGGAGGAGGAGAGGATGTATATAAGGAAGATGAGGATGGGGAGGAGGAGAGAGATATGTAAGGAGGAAACACAACAGGGCACTACCACTCCATCATTTGGCTCATATTTGTTTAGTGGGCATGATAGTGTTAAGCAAACGAACTCTCTGGGGATGTAGCTCAGTGGTAGAGTGAAGAGGACAGCTTGAGAGGATAGTACAAATATGTTTTCCTTGGGGTGTTTTCTTTTTGGTCTTTACTCAAGGAGAGCTTAAGTGACTCAGTCAAGGTGAGACACACACCAAATGAATTGAGATGTCTAGCTGTGAAGCCAGGTGTGGGCATTGGGAAGTACTGTTGGGCTGTAGTCTACAGCTCTGTGCTCCATGTTGATTGATGGCTTTGAATGCCTGCCTTTTCCTTCTAGTGGTAAGAGCTAGCAGAGTGATGGGGAGAGTAGAGACTCAGCTGCAAAAGTGATCCTGACAGCTCTGGTCCTTGGAGATGCTCAGGGCACCTGATCCACTCCTAAGCCTGGAGAGGCTTCTGAATTCCCAGGAGTCTGAACTTGGATGTGGTATGGACAGTGCTTGTTTCCTGAACCAGCCATGCTCTCCAGAGGCTTTGCTCCTGGCTTGGATTACCCAGAGCTGGAAAATGCCACATCAGGTCATGGATAAGAATAGAAACCTCTAGACCAGGCACACGCTTCCCTGCTGGGCTCTGGCAGGTGTCACAGGACACGGTCACCCTGTGTAGGCCACTGTTTTCCCTCAGGCTGGGAAGGGGGGGGGATGAGTCCATTTTCCCAGGACATCTGGTTGGAAGGGTTCTCAACACACACACACACACACACACACACCCCTACACCTTCTCCTCGTGTGATAATTAATGCTGGGATCAGACTTAAAGCTTTTAATCAGAGCAATAGAGACAAAAGGACACCCAAAAATTGAGTTTTAATTCTTGGCCCTATCTAAGCAATGAGGTAGTTAATGGTGACTCCAGAAATGTTTCTAATTTCTCATCATTCATTTGGCCTTTGTAGCCATAACACTGACTGTCTATGGTAGTCCTGGGTGCTGTATGCACACCCATGTGTTTGATGTCTCAGGTCAGTGTTTAGGAATTAGTGTGAACACTGGCAACATGTGTTGTAAGGTTAAGGTTAGTCTGGAGCTGTCTTTGACTTTTTTGGGACCATGTCTTGTGCCAGATGTAGTGGTGTCAGGCACATCCTGGTTGTGGGATGGTGTGGCTGTAGGTTTGAGTATCCTGCCGGTTGAATGTGAGGAAGAGAGTCTTTAGATGTTGTGCCTCCGCCCTCTGACTTTGAGGTGGCCTGTTTCCACAGCGGGAATGCATATCAGTCCACGTGGGTCAAGCTGGAGTTCAGATTGGCAATGCCTGCTGGGAACTCTTCTGTTTGGAACATGGCATCCAGGCAGATGGAACCTTTGGCACTCAGGCCAGCAAGGTCAATGATGATGACTCCTTCACCACCTTTTTCAGTGAGACTGGAAATGGAAAACATGTGCCCCGGGCTGTCATGGTCGACTTGGAACCTACTGTAGTAGGTGAGTACTGGCCAAGAGGGCTCTACTGCCACAGCAAGGCACAGGGGCGTTGGCTTGGGAGAGTGAGGTGAGTTGAAAGGTGTGAGTGAATCAACTAGAACTCACCCTCCTTGTGACTTCCCCCAGCCCTTGGGGTCAAAGGGCTCTCTGCTCAGCTATGCAGAACAAAATGCTTCTTCAATCTGCGGTGGCAGATAGAAATGGCCATGTGTGTTACTGATAGTAGAGGATTAAAAAACAAAAATCTTGAGAAACTATTAGAAACCTCTCAGCCAGGTGGTGGTGGCACATGCCTTTAATCCCAGCACTTGGGAGGTAGAGATGGGTGGGTCTCTGTGAGTTCAAGACCAGCCTGGTCCACAGAGTGAGTTTCAGGACAGCCAGGGCTGTTACACAAAGTAACCCTGTCTTGTAAAACTCCTCAAACAGTTCATTTCCTGAAGTGTTGATTTCTGACTATAGTAGTATAGGGGTACGGTCTAACCTTGCAGCATTTCACAGTCAAGATGGGGTAAGAGTAGCCTCATTCACAAGTAGAGGTGTTGCATTTGCAGGACACTTCTCCTGATGTAAAACACACCGGTGGATTCCAGCTTTCTCAGAACAGGGTTCCTTGGGCTCCTTGGAGAGTGCCTTGGAGGTCCAGATCCAGGTGTAGGGAAGGGAAGACGGGGAGGAAACAGCATTCATTGGTGCTAGATGAGTAGGGTCTGCTCTTTCAAGTCTCCTCCACTCTAGTTTGGCTCAGGGGCCCGGGCTTGGTTAGTGCCCTTGTCACCTAGGATCTTCAGTCATTTAGACTTGTTCTAAATGACTTCACTCCAGTAGAGTGGCATACGAAGATGAGCTGGGTGGAGTGTCTCTCTTGAAAACCGGGGTCTGGGGTTCCTGTATCTTGACAGATGAGGTGCGGGCAGGAACCTACCGCCAGCTCTTCCATCCTGAGCAGCTGATCACAGGGAAGGAAGATGCTGCTAACAATTACGCTCGCGGGCACTATACGGTGGGCAAGGAGAGTATCGACCTGGTGCTGGACCGCATCCGTAAGTTGGTAAGCACAACAGGGCAGGGCAGAGCACGTCTGGTCAGGCTTGGACTCAGGTGGGATAAAGGCATGCATCTGCTGGCTGCAGGCATAGCTCCTAGAGTTCTTGGGGATGATTTTTTGTTTGTTGGTGCTGAGGATAATTCAGGGCCTCGTCATGCCCATGCTCCTCTCCTGGCTGTACCACTAGGCCTTGCTCATTTTCAGAAGGAACATTCACAGGGATAGTATACCTCCTTCCATCTGGGCCCACTGGCCTATCCTATAGACTGAGGCTAAAGTTAGAAACATGGGTAAATAAAACATTGGTTTGGAAGAACTGAGGAAGAGATTCATTTACACATTTGAGTACTGATATATACACTACACGTTCTGACTACACACATTTGTTTGCGCTCTAATAAACAAACAAGGGAGGCATTTCCTTTGTTGCAGGCACACACAGTTTTGGGCTGGGGGTCACACTTGGGTCACACTAGTTAAGTGTGCTAGAGAGTGCAGAGTTAGGGTGTGAATCAGGCTCTTGACTACAAAGCCGCGTTGTGGGTTCCATCACTTTGTCATTTTAAAGCTCTCACCATGTGGTGAGGAAAAAATTGACAGACATGTGGTGCCCAAAAGTTCAGAACCACTGGATCGAATGATCGTAGCTCAAATCCTCTGGGAAAATTCTGTGAGTCTGTAAATTCTCTTGGTTTTGCTAGGAGTCAATATGGAGTGTGTGCTATAGTTCTCCCAGGAGTCAGCATGGAGTGCCTCCTACAGAGAACATCAATGATGCTAACTCACTAGCCATCACAGAACCTTCCAATGATGCTATCTCATTAGCCATCACAGAACCTTCCAAGATAAGAATATAGCCAAGGGGGAGGAAGCCTTTGGAAAGGTTAATAACTGGCTGATGAAGAGGTTACAAGTTGGAAATTCATGGACATGTTGCTTGTTTTGGTGTGGTCATTCCACAATGGACACAAAAGCCACAGCAGCACACTGTGCCCCATAAATGCACACATCTGTGATTTGTCAACCTAAAAACATTTTCTTAAACCTCAAAATTTCAAAAATCTTAAAAGAAAAAAAAACATAGCTCCTTTTACATTTCCCAGACTGGCACTCTGAGTCCTTTCCAAGTTTGAGAGGTGCATGTCAGCCATGCCCATAAAATTATACGTCAAGGACAGGTATAGCAGGCAAGGTTCAAGCTCTCAGAAGGCAAGGCCCACTACTCTGGCAACTCTGAGACTTTCTACTCCTGCTTTGGCCAGCTCCAAATCAGAGCCTTTTGTATCCATGTGTAGTTTGTCAGTCTAGACATTAACCACTCCTCCCAAAATCAAAACAACCTTTTTTTTTTGTGTGTGTGTGTGTGTATGTCTTATTCCTTGTAGGCTATTATGATTCTCCTGACATAAAAATATTGAGGATGGGGTATGGCAGACAGTACGAGTTGGTCTGGGTTCTGATTTCTCCTGTTTCTGGCTCTCCCCAGACAGATGCCTGCTCCGGCTTGCAGGGATTCCTCATCTTCCACAGCTTTGGTGGGGGCACAGGCTCTGGCTTCACGTCTCTGCTGATGGAACGGCTTTCCCTTGACTACGGCAAGAAGTCCAAGCTAGAATTTGCCATCTACCCAGCACCACAGGTGTCCACAGCAGTGGTGGAGCCCTACAACTCCATCCTGACCACGCACACCACCCTGGAGCACTCTGACTGTGCTTTCATGGTGGACAATGAAGCCATCTATGACATCTGCCGCAGGAACCTGGACATCGAGCGCCCCACCTACACCAACCTCAACCGCCTCATCAGCCAGATTGTGTCCTCAATCACTGCCTCTCTCCGCTTTGATGGAGCCCTCAATGTGGACCTCACAGAGTTCCAAACCAACCTTGTACCCTATCCCAGAATCCACTTCCCACTGGTCACCTACGCACCCATCATTTCTGCTGAGAAAGCCTACCATGAGCAGCTGTCTGTGGCAGAGATCACCAGCTCCTGCTTTGAGCCCAATAGCCAGATGGTGAAGTGTGACCCACGTCATGGCAAATACATGGCCTGCTGCATGCTCTACCGTGGTGATGTGGTACCCAAGGATGTCAATGTTGCCATAGCTGCCATCAAGACTAAGAGAACCATCCAGTTCGTTGACTGGTGTCCCACAGGCTTCAAGGTGAGAACTGATGACCAGGGGTGGTGGAGTACTGGGGGAACAGAGGGGATTATTGGAGAGAACAAATCTTGGACCTTCTAGTTTTTATGATAAGGCCAGAGATGACCTAAACCAATGCAACACTGACTTCAGTCAACTTTGACTGAAGCCTTCAGGCCTTGAAGGCTGGTCTGCTTAAGTCATTTTAGAAAGCGCATGAGTTTGCTGCTATTTAAGATTAGTTAACCATCTTTGACTTTTTCTTTTTTTAACCTGAGGGACCTGATTTACAATGCCTTGAAGACTTGCAATTCATTTCAACTTGCAAAAAAGAAAATTTAATGGATATTTTACCCATTTAGGTACATTTTAAGTTTATAGTCAACTAAATGTTTCGAATTGCTAGAGAGGCATAATTTTTTTTTTTGCCATAATAAGATGTGTTTTAATTAACTGTTTACCCTTATTCGGCTTAGAGGAAGACTGAGGGAGGGCCTAATCTTTGTGTGACTGAGTCCCGCTTGTCCTAAAGTCTCACTTTCTCCCCTCCCTCCTGCAGAGCAAGGGCACGTAGTCTTCCTGCTCACAATTCCACTCCTTGGGACGTACATCACATCACCTTTTCTTCCTAGATACTACCTATTTTTATGTGTCAGTTTGGTCATTCTGACCAAGGCAGTCAGGGTCATCTAAAAACTGGAGTTCTCTTTTTTGATTAAAATGATAGAATGAACTAATGAGGGAGTTAATGGGAAGGAAGGAAAAATGAAAGATGTGGGGATAGTGGGGTGATGAACACAGAGGGGATGCCCTCCTCCATTTTAAGCTTGCTCTGAAGTCCCATATGGAAAGAAGAGTAAGGTGCTGTTGGCATTGATAGGTGCTTTCCAGAAAAGCACATGCCCGCAGAATGCATATTGCTAAGCCTCACCAGTTGACATTCTCCAATGTCCCCAGTTTGACTCAGGTCTACAATGTCACTGCTGAAAAGGGAAGGGAGGCCTGTGTTGGGAAGAGCCACACCAGCAAGATACAAGGTGTGGCAAAATGTATATCTCTGTCACATCTGTGGCCAGCTGCTCGTTGAGCGGCCACGTGCCTTGCAGATAGCTCTATTTGAAGATGTGTGCTTTAAAGCTATGAATCCAAGAGGTCGGTAGCTTAAGCACAATGGCCCTGGTAATGTATGTTAGTTTGGGGCAATGCCATGGTTCTTGGTGTCCTACTGATGAAACCACAGTCTGTCATCTTGACGCTTTCCAGTTTCCTATAATTCTTGGTCTGCTTTGATTTGGGGCCTTTGTGGGGAGATTCCTAGGGTAGAAGCCCCACTGGGAAGCTGCTCCTGCCAGTATACTAGCAGCTCTTGAGACGTTGGCTTGCTTGTGTGTGACCTTTGGCTTCTGTGGTTGCCCTTTCTTTTCTTCTAAGAACCCTGTTTACTGGAGACCCAGCCTTGTGAGAAGTAACACTATCCCCAGGGACCTTTGCAATTTATTGCTCTGGATTCTCCCTGTGACCTAACATGGCAGAGAAACCTCATCCATGACAGAGAAACTTCCCTAAATTTATTGCAAAAACAAAACAAACACTAAGAGCATCAGATAAACTTCTAGAAAATAGTGAGCTCTATGACAACACTGTCAGTTCTAGAAATTGATCTGCCTCTAACACGGAAGGCGTTTCCTGCCCCTTGCACCCAAGATGAACAGTCGAGATGCTGCTTTTCATGTCCCAATTTCATTTACTACTCTCATCAACTTGAGCATTTCCTCTTTACCAGCCTGTTTCTCCTCCAGCCTCTAGTTTCTATGCTCCTGAGATCCTCCTGCCTCAGACTTCATGGTACTGAAATTATAGGCATGTACCGCCATGAACCTTCCTTTTGCTTTTATTTTCTCCCTAGCACACACCCTTTTGATCTGCCTATGTTCCCAACTTCCTGGTTCCTTCTTCCACTCCATCGTGCAGCTCCACCCCACACCCATGCCTAGATCTTGCCAGCAAAGCTTATTACCAACAGATTGCCTTTGGCCAACTTGCATGTCATCTGTTGCCTGTTTTCTTTCTCTGTTCCCCAGGTGGGCATCAACTACCAGCCACCCACTGTTGTGCCAGGAGGGGACCTGGCTAAAGTCCAGCGAGCCGTGTGCATGCTCAGCAACACCACAGCAATTGCAGAGGCCTGGGCCCGCCTGGACCATAAATTTGATCTCATGTATGCCAAGCGGGCCTTTGTACATTGGTATGTTGGAGAGGGAATGGAGGAAGGAGAGTTTTCTGAGGCCAGGGAGGACCTGGCTGCCCTGGAGAAGGATTATGAAGAAGTGGGGACTGATTCATTTGAAGAGGAGAATGAGGGGGAGGAATTTTAAATATACACCTGCCCCATGACTGTGTCTCTTTGTGCCACTCCGCCTAAGCATTTTGGGTTCATTCATCTCCTAGCACTTCAGACAGACAGACAGACAGACAGACAGACAATAGCAGCTGTGCCTGCTCACTCTCCATTTCTCTTCTTAGTATGCTGTGCTCATTGTTCTATGGGAAAAGGAAACCACAGAAAGAGAAAGTGACAGACTGGCCTCAGCCTCAGCTCAGTTCCTGTCCTACATAGGAGGAGGGCTCCTGACTCCAGCCCTTGGGCTCTGGAATGAGAATAGCTTCCTTCTTAAAGAATGAGAGTGGAGTTGAGTAAGTCACAAGCATAGGGTGGGGTGAGGAGGTACACTGGGAATCTTCTAGGTAGGTTAGGCTGGTCACCCCCAAGACAGGATCTGCTGGTGGAGGAATAGGACAACACCAGGAAAATCCCAGGCTCAGAAGATGGCGTGGAGAGAGCAAATAGAAGCTCATGAAAATGGATCTGCAGCACAGCCCTGAGCTCATCTGGATCACATCAGGATCACATCAAGTGTTTGAGTAGCTTCATCCGTTTCCCCCTCAGGGGCGTATCCCAAGATCCTGATTAGGTGTTGACAGCCACCAATAGTCCTGATTCTGTATTGTGTGTGTGTGTGTGTGTGTGTTTCCACACTTACATTATGAAATATGTTATGTATCAGCACAAGAGATTAACAGTCACCACCAATGAAATACAACAACTAAAACAAAACACTGTAATAAAAATTACGCAAGGTCTTTGGGGTGTAGCTCCATGGCGAGCAGTTGCTTAGCCTGTGTGAAACCCTGGGTTTATTTTCTGCCACTGTACTCAGACAACAGACACAGAGCAGCAGATGTGGCTGCTTGGTTCCTGCTTTCTTATCTGAGGATGCTGTACTCTTTCTGTGGGAAAAGGAAACCACGGGAAACGAAAGTGAAAATAGTGGTACCTACAGTCTATGCTCTGGCCAAGGCACTGTCCCAAGAGCTAGAGAGTTAGAAGCATGATGATACCCTGCCCTCCTAAATACATTATAAATACGAGGTCACCTTCGAGGCTGTTTAGAGATTTCAAACAGCGATGACAGTAGCTGGTGTTGTGGACCAGTGGAGCCCAGATGAGTCCAGAGATACTGAACACAGGGAACAGAGATGCTGAACACAGGGAACAGAGATATGAAAAGAGAAGGGAGCAAATGTGGGTCTGACAGCAAGAGAGGAGCTTGCTGGGAGGGTGGGAAGCCAGGCAGGTGCCAGTTTGTCCATCCCCAGAGAGCATCATGGATGTTTAGATGTCTCCTAAGTGAAACATAAGCGCTTGAAAGCTTGAAGAAAGGTTCCACAGCACCTTATCTTTTGTATACACCTTCTCCAGTACTCTCAACACTCACGATGGAGTTTTGGTTTTCTGTAGAGACCCTGAGGTATGGAGAATCAGTTGCTAGAGACAGGAAGATGGAGTTCAGCTGGGTCCCAACACCAGGCCTCTCCCCACTGTCTCTGACTCTGAAAATGGCACACAGCAGAAACACATCTCCATTTGCCAAGGAGCCATGCTGCCTCCCTGCAGCCTGAACTCGGGATTTCAGGAGCCATCAGCAGGCTGTTATTTGTTACCCGTGAGACCTCCAGGGTCAAGCCCCATTATGTTATGGGTCTTCGTGCATTAAATGCATAGCTCTTCAAGTCTGTGTTCACAGGTGTCTAGTTTATTCCTTGGAAGCCCTAAGAGAAGCAGAATGTCCTTGTCCTAGAAAAGGAAAGTTAGGCGAAATGTGCTGCAGCTGTCTTCAGGGAGCCTGCCCTCTTTCCTGTCTATGCAGCAGAGCATGGTGCTAAAAAGTGGGTCCAGATCTGTTGTCCGTGGAGGGGTCTGGTAAGAAGAGCAGCTCAGAGCGTGCCCTTCACGGAGATGGGCTTTCCAGTTTCCACAGCTGTCTGTGGTAGGGAGTGGGCAGCCACTGTCAGGAAGAGGCATTTTCTCTACAGACAGAAGTGAGAGATAGAGTCACAGATAGATTCATACCTACCTGACGTGCAGTCACAACACTGATGCCTCAGAGGTGTGTGCAAGGGGGCGGGGGCTCAGGGGAGTCGGGAACCACCCTTAGGGGCATTTGAAGCTGTTTCTCCTCTTCCAACTTCCCTACTTCCCTCATTTGTTTGGGCCCTTGTCCTACCATGAGCTTAGGTACCTCTAGGCCAGCTCCACTTTTATGGCCTTGCTCAGGAGGTAGAAAGTGTTGTTTGAGAACTGGAGATTAGTGTCCCCGTGTGAGGATGGGAAGAGGAATAGGTTACCTGGCCTTTCCCAGGGCAGGTAGCTTGTGAATCTTAGCCTATCATAGGTCATCTTAGGAAGGTGATGCAGGGGGCTGGTGAGATGGCTCAGTGGTTAAGAATACTTCCAGCTCTTCCAGAGGACCTGGGTTTGGTTCACAGGACCCACATTTAACAGCTCACAGCCTGTAACTCCAGCTCCAGAGGAGCTCCTTTGGCACCTACACATACATGGTAGGTAAGTGCATGCATGCGTGTGCACAAACGCACACACACCCACACACATCCATACACCACACATACACACCCACACACCATACCACATACACACACCCAATGCCCCATACCACCCCACTGCACCCCTCCCCCACAGAGTAAGGGGAGGGAAGTGTAAAACAAGTTCTGCAATCACCAGATAAGGCCCAGATTAGAGCATCATGCAGCAGCCTTTTGGAAGGTTCCTTGTTTAGCTCACTTGGCTCTTGTGAGCTCCACTAGATACACCTTTTAAAAATTCATTACTTGAGCAAACGTCCTTTTATTTTGTGGTATTTTATACTAGGATTTAGAAGAATCTATGGTTAACATAGTTTTCTTCCCTAATTTATCAAATGCATCCCAGGCTCCTCTGGGCGAAAGTATGGCTATGAATGCTTTCTCTGCCCTATATTTTCAGCGAGGTCTTGAATTCTCAACAAGAAACATAGGCTTCCAGCCTGTGGGCAGAAGTCAGCCTAGGTTCCAAAGTGAATCTGAGGGGAAGGTGGCACATCCATTTTCTCTGAACTTGCTGATTCTGTATCAATTTGATGAGTCCTTGTATTAGGGTTCTCTAGGGGAGTAGAAACATATAGAATGAATATGTATAGGATTTACTAGGATGGCTTACAGGCTGTGTGTGGGCTTGCTAGTCCAACAATGGATGCCAACCAATGGAAAGTCTAAGAGTCCAGTAGTTGTTCTGTCCACAAGGCTGGAGTCTCAGCTGGTCTTCAGTATATTCCAGAATTCTGAAGAAGGAGGCTCTAATGCCAGTGAGGGAATGGACTTGGCAGGGAGAATGAGAGCAAGCAGGCAGAGAGCAAGCTTCCTTCTTCTGTGTCTTTTATATAGGCTGCCAGCAGAAGGTGTGGTCCAGAATAAAGGTGGATCTCCCCCCTCAAAAGATCCAGATTAAAAATGGGTCTTCCCACTTCAAATGCTTTAATTAGGAAAATAAAATCTCTCGCAACTGTACCCAGCCACGTGGATTTTTGTTAATTACAGATCTAATGAAGCTGACAACCAATTGTAGGCAGTAGGTCCTCAGTCTAACTTGACTGCAGCGGCAGGGGGCATGGCCTCTCATGCAAACTAACAAGATTGGAGCCTCTCCTCTCCCCTCCCCTCCTCCTCTCCTCTCCTCTCCCCTCCTCCCCTCCTCTCCTCCTCCCCTCCCCTCCTCTGCTCTCCTTCTCCTCCCCTCTCCTTTCTCCCCCTTTTCCTTCTCCTCCCTCCCTCCTTCCCCCCTCCTCTCTGTGTTGCAAGACCTAACTCTCCACACTAAGAAATAACATAAAACAAACTACCCCAACATAGTATCTTAAGTCCAGGATGGTGGGCACCTTGAATTTCTACTTCCAGCAATTTGGCTCATGCTGAAAGTGTTGTCTAGAGCATTTGGATAAGGAAACAACTGGAGAATAAGCTCTATTATGATATAATGGAGCATCTGATATAATACTGTGTAATAATGATAATCAGAAGGGTTTTGAAATTTGTATTATTGTTTATGGATTCCTGTTTGGTGCTTTGTGTCTGTAGGATTTACTGATTTCTTATTTGCCATATTGGAAACATTTGTCTTCTATTTTTCTTTGTTAGTTATGCCTGCTGGAGATTTTTAAAGACTAGGCTTCCTGTTTCATTACTTTTTCACTGTTGTGTATTTTTCCATTTCGTTGACCTTTGACCATATTTGTAATATTTATTTATTTGGTGCTATAAAGCTCCAGCAACTTAGAGCTCACTGGATATACCAGGCTACCCTTGAAATTGTGATGGTCCTCCGGCCTCTGCCTCTTGAGTGCTGGGTTTAAAGGCATACACCATAAATGTCTGGTTCAGTTTCTTGTAGTGGAATCTTAAGTAATTAAGACTTTTAGTTCTTTTCCCCTCAATATAAACACTTAGTGCTATACATTAATCATAGAAGTAGCTTTAGCTGTGCCCCATAAGCTCTGATGTGCTGGATCTGATGAAGTCCACCTTAGGCAATATTACGTGCACTTGCGTAGAACAGGTATTGTGCTGTTGTTGGATAAGGTGTCCTATAGGCATCAGTTGGATTCCATTGGCATTGAGCTATTCTGTTGTTCTTGCTAATTCTCTGTCTAGCTGTTGTGTCAATCAAGATTTCTCCTAGTGGAAAAACTTTTGGAATCTAAATGTTTATCCCGCTGTTTAGGGTTTCTAAGTCTTTTTGGTGGGCTGACCCTTTCATCATTATATAATGTCCTTTTCTTCGCTTGCAATTTCACCACTCTCAAACCTATTTCTTTATTATATGAATGTAGCCTGCGGTCCTCATTTGTGTTGGATATTTGTGTGGTAAATCATTTCCTCCACCTGTGGGGAGAGATTAAGTCCTTAGTGAATGTGTGCTGTTGACATAATCATGGCCACGTCAAAGATGCCAAAGCCTCAGACTCATGGGAACCGTGAGGCCTCCACCAGCTTTGAGTACAGAT